ATACTGACACCTTATTGTCCTATCCATAGCATCAAATTACATCACATCTATTGTCATCTTGCAGCAGCCTTGCATGATATGGGCTGGGACCAGCCTGGGGTGGGGAACACATAAGTAAGCGTGGCAGATGTAAAAGTAGAAGTATTGATCAGTTAACTTGTATGATCCTTCTGTCTTTCATCAGAAGGGTAAAGATCTTGCATAGTGGCCAAATCATACATGCCACGTTCCTAAGGCTTTCTTGTCGCACAGAAGACACCCTTCACATGGTGCTTGGGTGTACATGTTGTAAACCCAAGCCACATCCCTTATGTAAGAGACATTAATGTTGGTCCAAGTGGGTTAATGTGTCAAAATCAAGCAACTGATCTACCTGAGCCACGTTTTCATACCCAAGCTCCACTGTGGCATGACTTGGCTGCATAATCCTTTGATCTCAAGGGTTGTTTCTTCTGCCTTGCCTTTTCCATCCTTGACTAACAGCAGCCAGATAAAATGTCTTGCGCAGGAAGCCATAAAGGCTCTGGCTTTGGTTGAGTCTCTAGGAGAAGAGACTTACAAATTCAGTAGCAGCCACCCAGAACGAGGATGTCTCCCTATGCTTAGTGTACTGTGGGTCTCACACAGTGCACACAGCAATATTCAGGCAGTACATGCATATATCTGGTGTTTATTAATAACAGGCAATTAGTCCTCTGCCCAGCCCAATCCTGGAAACTTTATTCACTACTCTACCTGGGAAGTCCTAGTGCTGAATTTCTGACAAGACTTTCCTGTGTGCAACACCACCTACTGGATTGGAGGCGTAACTGCATATGCAGCACCTGTTCAGTCAAATGGCTCCTCATTCATCTAGAACATGAATAATAGAATCATAGAGTTGGAAGGGACCCCCAAGGGCATGGATACAGCCAGGATTTTTGTTGGAGGGGGAAACTGATGTGATTGGTCAATTAGTTAAGTATTTCTATTGTTTTACTTGATCTAGGGGAAACAGCTGCCCCCTGTCTCCCCTTGGCTATGTCTATGCTTGAGGGTGATCAAGTTCAACCCCCTGTATTGCAGGGATCTCAGCTAAAGCATCCATGACAGATGGCCATCCAACCTCTGCTTAAAAACCTCCAAGGATGTCCATGCTTATATGCCTCTGAATTGCATTAGGACATTTGTGTAAAAGGTAAGGCTTTCACTGTATTTGATCAATGATATCTGAAAAGCAGGGTGTTAACATTTCAGTGACTGAATCATTAGTTTATTAGATAAATTTGCATTCTTCCTAAAACCTTCTTGGTTGAATTTATCCCAGGTGAATGACTTTGGTGTCTGCATATGTACATCCATCATTTATGGGGGGGGGGGGGAATCTTTGCATATCTGTAAGCGCATTCCAGGCTCACAGTGATTATTTGCAAAACCATTTGGCTTTTGTTGAAACAACAAAGAATTGACCTGTCTAAATTTTGGAACAGCAGAAGCAGCTCAGCATAACAAATGGCTGTAAACAGCTGCTTAGCAATTCCAGTAGCAGAGTAGCTGTCACCGTCTACTGAAAGCAAGCTTTTATGAGGAACACTCTAAATTCCTGAGGCATCCTCCTTCACTTATGGGTCATAATGTTTGCCAAATAGAGTGGGACACATGCCGTGTTTGGGCATGTTTTCTCCATCTGCCTTGTTTCTGAAAGGTCCCATTAGGATGTCCTGGGAGCTGGACCGGGCTTCCTCTGAAGTGTTGCAGCTAATATGCTATAGCCTCCCTAGGGAGGTTCACTGGTCCATCTCACTGCTTAGTTTTAGGCAACTGTGTGTTGTTGTTTTTCAGCTGCGCCAGAAATGTAATTCGGTGCTTTCTGATTAATATTATTGTGTGTTAACCTTGCCACGGATCGAGCCAATGGGTAGGATTCTGATCTCTTCCTCTCTTCTCACCCTGCAGGTCTTGCTTGACCACTGTGACTCACCTAACATCGCAATGACCACCTGTCACCTTCCACCACCTTTCATCACAGCCACATCTTTACCTGCTCCATACCTGACACCATATATGAGATTAGGTGTAGGGCAGGTAGGTGTGGCTGTACCCAAACAGTTTCAAGGGCCAAACTGGAGCTCTGGAGAGCAATGGATCTGAAGTTCTCCACCACTGATATATTGGAGGGAGCATGGTCATGCACACTAACTGGACCATCCCCATCTCCACGGGCTGCAGCTTCACACCTTCATGCATTGGGTGGAGGGCCAAAGGAGGATTCCTCATGAGTTCAGGTGAACATGTGAATAATCCTCTCTAGAAAAGGGAGCTCCAGTCATGCAAAGTTCCTGATTGTGTAGATGAGTCTACCAACATTCAGCCAAACTGCCCTTCTGGCATGGAACTAATGGATGGGGATCCTGGGGACAGAGACAACCTTCCCCTTTCATGTATTCTTTGAAGGCAAAGGTTAAAAGGGTTCCTTCATTTTGCTGATATCTATCTGGTTTGATCGTTTTCTATTTTATTCATTTATTAAACAATTATGGCCTTGAATGTTCCATATTTTCTTGCCTTGGGTGTCTTTGGGAAAAGATGCATGAAATTACTTTCCAGAAACAAATGACTACAGCAGATATTGCCTATACAAGATCAAAAGGTCATACGCATTCAGACTCCTCTAGTGGAACCTGATTGTTGACAGAGTGAACCAAGAGGTCAGAAATGATACTATAATTGGGTGCTTTTGGTATCACTTAGCCTACACATGATCCCTTGCTGGGGAATATAGGAATAAGAAACTTGAAGACAGAATTCTGTTTGAATCTCTCACATGCCATTGCTTTTCACGCTGCAAACTTTGATACCAATGAGATGATTGACCAAAGCCTCTTAGTAAAATTGCGAGCACCACTGGGTCAAAAATGGGCCTTGTGCAAGTTCATGCAAAGGGAGGGTAAGAACAAATTGCTTGTGGCCTCTGATTCTTTTTTTTTTTTAATTTCCCTTTGGGGCAAATTAAGTTTCTTTACCTCAGAGATGCGGGAAAGATGTTGCAGATGTTGCTTTGGAAGAAGCGGCTTCAACCCAGAGGGAAACTGTTAGAACATGACCAGGTGAATTTACCTTTTTCTCTCTTTCCAAAACAAGATGCAGCCTGAAAAATGGTCATCTTTCAAAATTTGCGCTTCTCCAAATTTTGCAGTGCAGTTCTCCAGCCAAGTAATGTGTACAGAAATGCAGTTGCTAGGGTAAGGAACATGTATAAAAACATATTTAGTGAAAATAAGTATTAAAATGCATCCTATTTGGGGAAATTTGTTTGCAAAAAAAATCTGTATATTAGGCAAAATCGCATATTGTAGAAAGATGATGTGAATTTTCATAGGGACTTTTTTTAAAATGCAAACTTGTGCAGAAATTTGGAGAATTGAACTTATTACTGAAAAAATGAGAAACTGGGAGAAACTGAAACTGACATGTCTGCCCATCCCTTGTTGTCACACAGGGCAGAGAGAAGCAGGCTTCACCCCAGTCTTTACGTCTGAAGAAAGTCTATGCATGTATATGTTAAAATGTGTACCTGGCTACATACAGATGTTTCATTGTCTGAACCTATATGCTCCCTTCCTGCCACATGTTCACTCATTTGATTTTGTTTTATTTTATACAACACACACAGAGAGAGAGAGAGAGAGAAAGACTGTCAGCTGACATTAGCAACTAAAAATATTCCATCAATTCTGATGGATTAATATAGGCCAGGGGTAGCCAGCCTGGTGCTCTCCAGATGTTATTAGACTACAACTCCCATCATCCCTCACCATTGGCCATGCTTGCTGGGGCTGATTGGAGTCCAACAGCATTTGGAGAGCATCACATTGACTGCCCCTGATATGGGTAGTGCACATCGACTGCAAAGTGAGTCTCATTGTATTTACCGAACATCTGTAAAGGGCTGAGCCAATCATGGCACATGCACACAGTCTTTACTATGATTAGCCACTTTGCATAATGAATCGAAATCGCTCTCTTCCAAGGTGATAAAGTGGGGTGGAGGGACTTCAGTTCAAAGCATACAGGTTTTAAATAATTTCTGTGCTGATCAGAGAATACACTGAGTTTTAATATTAATGCCAAATCACAGAAGGAAAATTCTCAGTGCTACGGGAGGGCATTTTGCTGCGCAGAAATACTCGCAGGGAGTAGGTAACAGGAGCAGCCCACGATATTGCCTTTCGTTTCTAATGCAACATTCATGCTTGATGTGTCTCTCCTTACCGTCCCAGAATATTGCTGTGCACACTTTGTTCAAGCAAGTGCCACAAACAAAGCTGAGCTGTAGCCGGGTGGAAATATATTCTTAGTTGGCAGCCAGAAATGCATTTTTGTTTAATGGGAACCGCGGGGAACTGTGGAAAGGCGTTGTTTCCCCCCCGCTCCCCCTCAAAGTCATTTCTGAAAATGGAACTTCTCAAGAAGCTGAGAAGGGAACAATGCATGTTGGCGGAGGTGAGAGAGGTGCATGCTGGGTGAACTTGGCTTCAGCTCGGAATAATTCTGAGTCTGGTGCATTCAGCAGCCCTGGACAGGATAGGATTGCTGAAGGCAGAATGCAGCCTTCCAGCATGAGATGCCTGAACTTGACAGGTGGGACAAATGCAGAAGGACACACACACACACACACACACACACACGACAAATGCTGTGTTTGAATTATCGTGCCTACACCCCCACACATTGCCACTTTCACAGGGCCAATGTCTTTGCACTGAAATAGCTGCCACCAAAGGAAAACTCAGTTTGGAAAAATGAAACCCGGAATGAATAAATCATGGAGGGGCTCTTCAAGCCTTGACAGTTTATCCAAGGCTCTTTGGGTGGTGAAAGACAGCACAATGCTGAGCCCGGAGGAGGGAGTGCCATTGTTCGGGTGTGTTTATGTGCCACATGAGCCCCTCACCTTGGATTCATGGTTTCTTTTTAAAGCAAGCGGCGCCCAGGTTGGCTGTCTGGCAAGGAGGTGGGAAATGGACGGGAACAAGCGGCTCATGCAGGTCATCCACGAAATGCGCTCGGAAATCATCAAGCTAGAGAGAGAGAACAGAGCCCTCCGGGGGCAACTGACATGCAGCAGGCAGAAGGCAGCAAAGCGAGAGGATGGAGAAGGGGCCGAAGACAAAAAGGACAAGGGCTGGAGCCTCGCGGACTCAGTCGAAGAGGCCGCTGCTTCGCCGGTGACTCTGCGCAGGAATGTCTCAGCAGGCTCTGCTCTGACACTACAGGAGCAAAAAGGTACCCATGATTCCTGATGGGGCAAGTTATGACTAAACCTTTTGTTTAGTGACCCTTCCTGGACCAGAGGAAGAGGGAGGATAGCCAACATGGTGCCCTCCAAATGTCATTGGATTCAGTTCCCATCAGCCCCAGCTGGCATGGGCAACGGTCAGGGATGAGGGGAGTTGTAGTCTGGAGGGCACCATGTTGGCTAACCCTGAGATAAGCTAAAGTATTCCACTGATAGTCGCAAGCTGCTCTGGGTAGGCCTCAGAAACTCATCCTGTTACACTCGGAAATTAGGACAGCAGTAATTATTATTACTTTTGTTATTTTCATTTTTATTTATTGAATTTACATACCGCCCTAAACCCGGGGGTCTCAGGGCAGTTCACAGAATGAAATCAAGATATAAATGCACAAAATACCTAATAAAAATAAAAACAACAACCCAATAGCACCCCCCAAAAAAAAACCACATTTCAAAAGTAGCTGTTGTAACGAGGCATGAACTAAAGGTTGAAATTAGAGTTCTGATATTACAGTCTCCCAAATTGAGGCAGTCTAATTGACATACAAATGGTTTGTTAATTATGTAAATCAAGTTGTGAGTTGGGAAATGGCTAAGCACCACCCGTCACTGCTTTTTGTTTACCTCATGCAGCCTCTTACCTTAACAGCAGGGAAGTGGAGTGTTGTTGTCGTTGTTGTTGTTGTTTTTCAAAATAATAATAATAATTTATTCAATTTATATACTGCTCTTTATCCAAAGATCCCAGGGCGGTGTATGACATTAAGAACATAATTTACATAGCATGATTATAAAAGACAATAAAAAACAACCACAGAAAAATATCATAATAGCAGTCCCCCCACATTTAAAAAGCCATAGATTGTTTAAAGTGTTGGGCTTTCCTTTCATGTTACATGAAGAAGGCTTGCATTCGAACCTTGCAAAGCCTAAATGAAAACTAAGATGTCTAAAGATGGAATTTGGCCACACTTTCCTGAAAGTAAGCTTCAGGCTGGACGTTTTGCCACTTGAGGTAAATAAAAAATGAACCTACCACTGCCTCCAACAGCCATGGGTACACCATGCTGCAGGTCACCACCATGACAGCGATGCAGGTGTACCATATAACCGTCCTGTTGCTCCACAGATGAGTCTGTGGAGGAGAAGGCAGGGGCACAGCCATGTAGGAGGAGGTGGGGGCAAGCAGCAGGCTCCTTGGGCCCAGAACTTCCACCTGAGGCGACCGCCTCACCTCAAGGGCAGGCCAGCCTTGGTAAGCCTCATTAAAAACACAGATCTCACTTCTGAGTAAATTCTCATAGGAATGCTAAGAACAGTGCAAGGGGGGATCAGGCTCATTTCCCACAAAACCACTGGGGAGAATGGCGCCAGCACATTTTGCTTTCTGTCACAGGACAGAGGGCAAGAGACTTCCTTTAAAAAAAGAGAGAGAACTAGAAATCCAGTCCAGCTAATGGTGTAAATGGGCATTGGGTGGCATGCCTAACATCTGGCCAGCTGGATAACATGGCACCCCTAGTTAAGTAGCATTTTGCAGCATATCAAAAAGGTCTTTGGAAATAGCCAAGAATTAGCCGACAGTTCGGCACAAGTTGCACATAGTAATAATACGGGGGGGGGGGGGCATTTTTTGTTTGTTTGTTACTATGGTATGTATTTTTGTGTTTTTATATTATTCTCCACCCTGTGATCCTCAGATGAAGGGCGGTGTAGAAATTTAATAAATAATGATAATAATATCTCAAGGAAGTCTCCAGTTTGCAGTTTAATTGGTCTTTTGCATTTGCAATCAATTTGGCTCCAGGACTGGCTGCTCTCACATGTAAGGATCCCCCCTTGTTCCCTTGGTTCCAGTACAATTCAGATCTCTCTGTTTTTTGGAGATGCTGTACAACAGGAAGTGAGGGGGCCTATGTCTCACAGGCTAGGTCTGACCCACTGGTGAATTTCGTCAAGCCCACGATCCAGCCTTTGAAAGGTCTCCAGCAAGTTAATCTGCACTTTTCAAGGGTGGCACTCCTCGGGTTGGAGGTTATCAGCCAGCCTGTGCTTTCATGTCAGAGCCAGTGTGGTGTAGTGGTTAAGAGCAGTGGACTCGTGATCTGGTGAACCGGGTTCGATTCCCTGCTCCTCCACATGCAACTGCTGGGTGACCTTGGGCTAGTCACACTTCTCTGAAGTCTCTCAGCCTCACTCACCTCACAGAGTGTTTGTTGTGGGGGAGGAAGGGAAAGGAGATTGTTAGCCGCTTTGAGACTCTTTGGGTAGTGATAAAGCGGGATATCAAATCCAAACTCTTCTTCTTCAGAGGAATACCTTCTCAGGTGAGAAGCTGGTCAGTGCTATCTAACAGTGGAGGTTGATCCATTAGGATGCATGGCCAATTTCCCCACCACCTCAGTCAGATTCCAGCTGATCTGTTAGGTTAAGATTGTCACTCTGGGCTATTAATAAGAAAGGTTTTTTATTTTATTTTATTTAAAAAGACCAAACTACATGGATTACAATCTTTGCACAGGTAGCATTATGACGGTGAGACGTTATTCCATCTCCTCATCTGTGCCTTCGCTCCCTGGCAACAAACACCACAAATCTGACAAGAGGAATCCATTCAAGGGAGCCCTAGATGTGAAGGAGATAATCAAGCAGCCGACCTTTCCCACAGATACGCAACTAACCAACAAAGAAGAAAAAGGAGTTGCAAAAATTCCATCCGATTGCCTCTCCAGCAGTACATCCAACAAAAGGAGATCTTTCCAAGACCATGTTTACAAATGCAGGTAGGCCCGACTGAAATGATGATTGAAGCTTCAAGAAATCCCTTGTCAGGTTATTGAAGAATGCAAAAGTCTGGTTACTTGATGGCTCCAATCATTTTATAATGTCAGAAGTTGGCAAGCATTGGTATTGCTTCCTACAGCTATGGGACTGGACTTGAGCATATTTAATTGAAGAATGAGCTTGATAAATCTCATGACCATATCCTTCCATTAGACATCTATTTACGAATTATTTTATTAAGAGATTTATATTCTGCTGTTCACCCAAAATTGTTTACAAAAAGAAGGTCAAAGCATATCCGGTGCAATATTGCAAGTTGTAAACAGGGATGGAGAACCTGTGGCCCTCCTGATGTTGTTGGACTGCAACTTCTATCAGCTCCAGTCATCAGGGATGATGAATGTTGTGTTCCAACAGTATCTAGATGGCTACAGAGTCCATATCCCTTGTGCAAAGCATGTCAGCTTTGCAATGCCAAGTTTCACTATCATGGCAATCAAGGGGAAGCTTACATGAAGTGCTCTGTGTGACTCAGGCTGCAGTCCTAAACACAATACCTACAACGTTCACCTCATTGGCTGTAGTAGGACTTGCTTCTGACTTAACATGCATCAGATTACAATCTCACTTGTAGAATCACAGTCCCCTGTGAGCAGCATTCCAGTTATCCCACTGGTGTCTTTGGGGCGTGCATATCTATTTAGAAGAGTTTTGGATGTCTTGACTATAATTAGTTTCCATATGAGGAGCAGGAGCCTCAAGAAACATTTTTGCTCTATTCATAAGAGGATAGCTTCACCAGGACCCTGAAGATGCACATGAATGTTAACTGTCAAGCAATGCCCAGTATTTGCTTCAGAAACATTTGCTAACAATGCGGAGCCATATTTGCAGATGTAAACCCTTTGCAAGTGCATACAAGTGCATGATGCCCTCCAGATAGTGTATCCAAACACACCACCCAATCATCCCGTCCATTGCTAGGGATGATGGAAGTTGTAGTCCAGCAACATCTGCAAGGCTCTACATGGCTCGTCTTGTTATAGTGCACTGTGGCTTTGAAGTGGTTATTCCATGAGTCTTCCACGTTGAGTAGTTATTCTTATAAAAGGAATGCTGGAGGATTCCTCTACATGAGTAGGAAGTGCAGTCTACACCATGGGGGAGCAGAAAGGAATTCAAATAATTATTTTTTTAACATTATAGTCTGGGATGGATTATCATGCTTTCCAAAAGGAAAAAAAATTCCCCAAAAGGTATACAACATGGGTCTGCAAACTTAAGTCCACGGGCTGGATCAGGCCCAATTGCCTTCTAGATCTGGCCCACAGACGGTCCGGGAATCGCTGCGTGGATCACTAGCACGTGTGTTATTTCTCTCTCCCTCCCTCACACGGTGGCGGTGGCGGCAGTACCTCCTCCCTTCCTCCTCCTGGCTTCTCCCTGCCCTGCCTAGAGGAGGAAGGGGGCTGGGTTTGTTGGTGCCAGCAGCAGCAGCGCTCGAGCAGCCACCATTTTAAGCAGCCCCTCTCCGGAGCCCTTTTGCACAGCGCTCATCATCCCTCCACCACCACTGCCACCAGCCCCTGCTGCTCACAAGACAAACGTAAGCAGCCACTGGGGCTCATGGTGCTCTTGCATCATTTTTCCCCCAAAATATAGTCCGGCCCCCCACAAAGTCTGAGAGACAGTGGACCGGCCCCCTACTGGAAAAGTTTGCTGATCCCTGGTATACAATCTAGGACAAAGTTGGCAACCTGTGGCCCATAGATATTATTGACTATGGCTACTATCAATCCTGACCATTGGCCATGCTGGCTTGGGCAGATGGAAGTCGGGGTCCAACATCTGGAGAGCTAATGGTTCATCAGCCCTGATCTAATTCAGGATACGTTTGCAATGATGAATTATGTTGTATTGATACATTTGTGATCCAGAAGGTAAAACATATCACATAACATTTTGTTCCAAATATCTTGCACATGTTTCTTTTTCCCCTAGGGGTAAAGTAAAGGCTGTCAGTTTCCTGTTACCCATGGACATGTCACGTTATTCAGAAAATCAAGGCTCTTTCACATGCTCGCAAAATCAGAACACAAAACAGTTAAGCACCATTATTGAAAAGGACATGTGAGCCGGTGAATATTTAAAGGGCCACCGTTGACTTCAGAGATAAACTCGCCTGAAGCGAGAGCCCTGCATCAGATTACATTTCTGCAAAGCTGTTTGGCAGAATGCCCTCAGAGAATCACCCGGGCCAGCACTGCAGGTCATTGGCAGATTGTTTTGCAAAGGGGGGGAAAAACCTGTGACAGAGACTGTCAAAAGCCTGTGTGAGGAGGGCTGAAAGAAACCCACTGATAACAAATGCCTCTCTGCTGTATTTTATTTTATTTTTTACTTCATGGTTTATTTCCGGAACCCCATTAAACAGCATTTTATATAACAGTGTTCACTGTGGTCTTTTTAAGAGCGTGTACTATAACCTCCCTTTACTGCTCAAACTGCCAGAAATATAGAAACTTGTAAAGAAGAGGAGATAGTGTCTATTTTATAAAGCTTTAAAAAGTATGTGAAAGAAATACAGGCGCGTATCTGTCTTTCAAATAATAAAAGTTTGGTTTGTGTCCATTTGCATTTAGCCCCTGAAACATTCTGACAAATTACTAAAAACATACATATTAAAACATGGTGGATTTTAAGTATTCCCTTTTTGCTATGCTTGCTCATACAGTACCTGATGACTGATATATGCATTTAATTGCTCTTGTAATTAAACTGTTACTAGCAGGAGATATTAAACCAGCTTCCATGAGTAGGCATTTTCATTTTCCAAACTCAAGATTTGATGGCTAGTTTCCTCTAGCTAAATATTCCTGAAGAAGGAAGACCATAAGAGCATTGCGGGATCAGACCTAGGGTCCAGACTATGTTATGCTTAAAGTAGACCCAATGAAATCATTGGGACTTAAGTTAGCCATAACTAACTTAATTGATTTCAGTGAGTCTACATGGAGCAAGATAGGAGTCTGGATACAACCCAGGCAAGAGTGAGGTCAATGGCCATGAGATTAGAAGAGGCAAAAGGTCCTCAAAGATGCTTGGCAAGCTGAATGCTGACACTCAAGAGTACTGAAGGAGTTTGTGGGTGCAATCTCAGAGCCCCTGTCCATAATCCTTGAGAATACTTGGAGAACAGGTGAGGTTCCTGCAGACTGGAGGTGGGCAAATGTTGTCCTCATCTTCAAAAAGGGTGGAGACCCAGATGACTGCTGACCAGTCACCTTAACGTCAATAGCAGGAGAGGTCCTAGAGCAGATACAGTGGTGCCTCGCAAGACGAAATTAATCCGTTCCGCGAGTGTCTTCGTCTAGCGGTTTTTTCGTCTTGCGAAGCAACCCTATTAGCGGCTTAGCGGATTAGTGCTATTAGCAGTTTAGCGGCTATTAAAGGCTTATCGGCTTAGCGGATTAGCTGCTAAAAGGCTATTAGCGGCTTAGCGGCTTAGAAAAAGGGGGGGGAGCGAAAAAAAATCTCAAGACTCGCAAGACATTTTCATCTTGCGAAGCAAGCCCATAGGGAAATTCGTCCTGCGAAGCAACTCAAAAACGGAAAACCCTTTCGTCTAGCGGGTTTTCCGTCTTGCGAGGCATTCGTCTTGCGGGGCACCACTATAATTCAACAGTTGGTCTGTGAGCACTTAGAGGGAGATTCTGTGATTGCTAGGACCCAGCATGGCTTTCTCAAAAGCAAGTCAAAGCAAGAAATGACTCACATTTCTTTTTTTCATGGAATCACAGGCTTGGTGGATCAGGAGAATGCTGTGGACATAGTGTATCTGGATTTCAGTAAGGCCCCCACGATATTCTTGCAGAGAGGCTGGTGGGGCGTGGGTTGGATGCAGTAACTGTTAGGTGGATTTGTATCTGGTTGGCAGACTGAGCCCAAAGAGTACTCACTGGTAGTTCCTCATTTCTGGAAGAAAGTGACAAGTGGGGTGCCACAGGATCCTGGGCCCATTGTTGTTCAGCACCTTAATAAACTACTTGGTTGAAGGAATTGAGGGGATGCTCATTACATTTGCAGATGACACTAAGCTGGGCGAGTGGCTAACGCTGTGGAGGACAGAACTGGGATTCAGGATGACCTTGAAAGATTGGTGAGCTGGGCCAGAACAGACAAAATGAATTTCAGGGGAGGACATATGTAAGGTTCTGCACTTGGGCAGGAATGACCAGCTTCACAGGTATGGGATGGGCAACATCTGGCTTGTTGGGGATGCATGAGGTTCTAGGGGTCATGGTGGACCAAAGGCTTAACATGAGTCAACAGTGTGATGCAGCAGCAAGAAAGGCTGCTGTTGTTCAGGGCTGCATCAACAGAGGTGTGGGGTCCAGATCCAGAGAGGTGATGGTACTTATGAGGAATTGTTGAGGGAGTTGGGTTTTCCCTACTTGAAACATTTCACAAAAATGAGGCCTTTGGCAAAGAATGACATTCTTACTAAAAGATCACTTTGCAAATGATAGGCGCTTTCTTTCATGTCACAAAAGCAAGTGCTAATTTGATGTCTCATATAAAACATTTATTGTCCAAGTAGAAACTATACCAAACACCAGGAAAGTGCCTTCACAGTGACACTCATACAGATCTGCATATATGGAATTTGCTTGGAAACCAGCCATAGATTTCCAGTGAGCTATGCATGGCAACCATGGCTGCTAACCTTTTCTGATTTTTACTAACATGGGTAAAACTAAGATATAAAACAGTTGCGGGTGAAATCAAAATACATTCTGTTCTCTTTTTTTCCATGTAATGCTAGTGAAGGTGTTTCAGGGCCTAGTACAGGACTGAGGGGACACGGGTGGCACTGTGGGTTAAACCACAGAGCCTAGGACTTGCTGATCAGAAGGTCGGCAGTTCGAATCCCCGCAACAGGGTGAGCTCCCGTTGCTCGGTCCCTGCTCCTGCCAACCTAGAAGTTCGAAAGCACGTCAGAGTACAAGTAGATAAATAGGTACCACTCCGGCGGGAAGGTAAACGGCGTTTCCATGCGCTGCTCTGGTTCGCCAGAAGCAGCTTCGTCATGCTGGCCACATGACCCGGAAGCTGTACACCAGCTCCCTCAGCCAATAAAGCGAGATGAGCGCCGCAACCCCAGAGTCGGCCACGACTGGACCTAATGGTCAGGGGTCCCTTTACCTTTACCTTTTACAGGACTGAGGGGAGGGGAAAGGAGCTTTGTAACTCTTTCCTTCCAGCTGCAAATCCTTCTCTGGGCTGCTTTCATCCTTAAAAGGAAAACACGTAGATCCCTATATCATACTGTTTTTGTGTATGTGGGTGTAGAGAGCAAGAGGGGCAGGGGATATTGGGCAATTTAAATTCTAAGTGAAACAGCTTCCACTGACCATTGTCTTAGGGGTCATCCACACTCACCTTTTGCCCCATGCTTTCCCAGGCACAGGACCATTCCTGGTCCATGTCTGAGCTCTTTGTTTTCCTCCACCACTTTCCCCAGGAAGACTTTAGCACTGAATCAGAACAAATGGCAATTTGCCACTTGCTCTGATTCAGTGGTAAAGAGTGGGATTTTGTGGGGAAAGCACTGGGGGGGGGGAGCGCTTGAGCACAGAGCTTTAAAGCGCAGAGCTGTGCCTAGAAAACACAGCACAAAAGCAAAGTCTGGATGAGCCCTTAGTAAAGCTTAAATGCACTGCCATGCCAATTATATCCTCCTATGTTTCTACTTTCTTTTTCTTTTTTTGGAAGTCAAACACAGTTTGGGGATAAGGTGACAAAGACTTTTAAATACGCGGACATCTGGAGCACAACTCCCTTCAATCTCACACAACAAGATGTGTCATGTTCATACACAGAAAACAAGTCAAGACTGCAAACAGGGAAATACCCAGAGTTTGCTTCATTATTGCTACCAGTGATTTCAAAATATGTCAATATCAGTGCACTTGATGTACTACTACTGTATGCGAAGTCAGGACTCCAGGAGAGCAACAGCAAAACATTACATTACAGAACACACTTGTACTCTTCGACTTTAAAACTCAGGAGCTTCTTAAAGCAAATTGCAGAAATTGGATCGGACGTTCCTGATGGGCGGCGCCACTGCTGCTGGCTTGCTTCTGCCTTGTGTAAGATGATAAGGATCTTTGCTTGACTGCTGGTCACCATGGAGACTTACATTGGTCTCTGAATCACGAGGTTTGCCTGTAAAGACATGTTCCTTCCATGAGAGCTCTTAAAGATGGCGGGCCCTGTCTTAATAACAGCATCAAGCCTGAGTCTAACATGATCTTGAAAATCTGGGGTCATTTTAAAGCCTGAGAATGGAGAGAACCGCGATGAGAAGCTCTGTTTTCAGTGCCAAGTGCTATGTGCTACATCAGGGATACCCAATGCAGTGCCCTCCAGATGTTATTGGATTCCAACTCCCATCACCCCCAGCCAGCATGATGGGAGTTGTAGTGCGACAACATCTAGTGGGCACCGTGTTGGCTATCTCAGTGTTATGTTGAAGGAATCCTCTCCCAACACCCCTCTACACTCCACTCTGTGGAGAATAAACCCTTTTTAGGTGTCTTCTTGCCTCATCAATATATATTTGAGTACTATAGGACAAAGATTTTGCTTAGAACAGATTGAGAGATTTTCTTAAAAAGCTACTCTGAAACAGCCTCCCATTTCACAGGGGCCACAAGACCTGCTGGATAGAAATACTGATATAAAGTTTGAATGAGCATTTTTTTCGTCTAATACATGCTATGGCTTTCCAGACCATGTATTATTGACAAAAGAAAAGAAAAGAAAAGACATTTGCACCATAGTTCAATCATTTTATACTGCATGCATTTTCTGACACAGAGCTTCATCTCTCTAGTAACATGAGAATGTACATAAAACCCAAAGCTAAAACAAGCAAAAGCCAGGCTGCTTGCCTTGAAATATCTCCAGAAGCTATAGGTTAGTTTGTGGGTTGGACTGTTTTCCTTCTTCCCAAATGAATGCCTACCCTTGCTATGCCTCTACTCAGCCACTAACTTGAATGTGCTGTGATTTGAGAGCCAGTAGCGTGAATGCAAACTGGTGCATCATATGATGTCAGTATCATAGAATCATAGAGTTATTTATCAACATCAAGTTATTTCTTAGTGCAGGGCAACAAGGCAAACACGACTGCTGTGTCTCCCATCAAAGGTTGAAGTTATTGGAATCCTGGCAGGACTGTCCCTGGGAGGGTGGGGGCAAGGCAAATCATCACACTGTGCCCCCCACATTGCTGCCCTCTTCCCTCTGCCACCCATCCTACTCTTGATGGTGAAGGTGGTGGCAGGGTCCCCTCCATGCCCCAGATTACACTCTTTCTGTTGTCATTCTCTGTCTCCACCTCTTCCCTCCCTGCCTTCCTGTGAGAAGACCCATTGGGTGGGTGGGAGGCGGCTTGGCGGGGCTGGGCTGGGCAGGCAGCTTGGCTGCTGGCCTTGGTCACTGTTACCAAGGATAGAGCCCCTCAGGACCATTGCCCCACCCCAGAGGTGGGGTGTATCATAGCCCCATTCCCACAAACCCTAACTTCTGCCTGACTTCTTAATAACTTAAGAACTTAATTCATTCTGGAGGTCCATTCTTAACCTGAAACTGTTCTTAACCTGAAGCACCGCTTTCTCTAATGGGGCCTCCCGCTACTGCTGCACCGCCACTGTACGATTTCTGTTCTCATCCTGAAGCAAAGTTCTTAACCCGAGGTACTATTTCTGGGTTAGCGGAGTCTGTAACCTGAAGCGTCTGTAACCTGAAGCGTATGTAACCCGAGGTACCACTGTACCTGCTAAGTCCTTTGCTCTTGATTCATTTCTTCCTTTGACGCTGGTGTGTGCTTCTATGGGGCTATCTGCATATTTCATTGCTATGATAGGAAGCGATGTCTCATCTGAATCTGAAAAGGAATAGAAATAGGTACGTGTCATTTATTTTTTACAGCTGGGTCCTGCATCAAAATATTGCAGTATGGCTTCTCCTGTTAACTTTTCCAGTAAGTCAGCCATGTCCTCCAGCACAATACTCCATGTTGTTTTGCCTTCCACCTGGTTTTCTGTTCCCCACCCCTCAAAATTCAGTCAGCTTTCCATGGTTAGCTTGCTCACTTCCCTTGGAGTCCCTTGTTTCCCAATATATAAAAAAAATATTTTATGCTTCTGTTAACTTTGGAGTTCCCTCAAGCCTGCTGATCTCTCTCTTCCTCCCTCCCTCTCTCTCTCTCTCAAATACATTTTTATTAAGATTTCTTAGTTTACAAAAATACCCGCAATGTCTCTTCTTTCAAGCTGCGTTTTCTACAGATCAGTTTCATTTGTTGTGAGACATTAGCGTTACATTAGGAAGAAAAGGGGGGAAGAGGTGGAGGGAGGAATGGTGAGTGGGGTGGGGTGGGGTGGCCATGCTTCTATTCTTCTACTTAGTGTATGTGTGGGGTTTTGTGTCAGCATCACATGTGGGTTCTCTTACTATTTGCTTGTTGTATTTCCTTGGTAGTGAGAGATGTTGGGGGTGGCCTAGGGTGTGATTGGTTGTCTTTGGCTGGCTGTAGTGAGATTTGTTTTTGTGTTTGAGTGGTGTGTGTGTGGTGTGTGTGTGTGTGTGTGTGTGTGTGTGCGCGCGCGTGTGTGTTGATTGCTATGATTGCAGATTGATTCCTGTGCTGTGGGCGGATTCTTGTTGTTATCTTGTTGGGCTGTGTATGTGATAAAGTGCATGATGGGTGATGCCCTGCTGACCACATAAGCAAGGGCACTCATGGCCTGAGCATCAGAAACAGCAAAATGATGAAATAAAAAGGAGTCCATTTGTTCTCCTTCCTCTACCTTGTGGACATGTGCTTTGGAATGCTTCAGCGCTGCACTCGAGAGACAGTTGAGCAGATTCATGGCTGGGAACAGGATCCCTCGGTGGTCTTCCCATGACCTCATCCTCAGTTGCCATTGTATTCCGGACCAGGAAGTAAGTGTGCATTTTCCCTTTGCCCTTTACATCAATTTCTCCCCTTTCCATCATTTCAAAATTCTTGTCCTTTAGGCACCTGAAACATAAATAAAGCAGCACATCTAAGCAGTGGGTTATGAAAATGGCGCAATGACAATAATTATATCAGCCTCTAATGTGGAAAGTTCAACATAGCTTAGGTTCTGCTGAAAGACCTGGAATGGTGACACAATGGTAATTTAACTAGCAGAAGCCTGTAAAACGACATGCATTGAAATGCTTGCCTTCCAGAATGACTCATGGCTATAGAATGATGGCTCTGAACTCACAGCCCAACACCTTCAAGCACAGGCTGTGCACCTGCCTGAAATATTAGTGGTGTTATGACAGTGTCCTGAATGGCATGAACTGTGCCTGCCCTTTTGTCAGCACTTAGCAATATCACTGTTCTTATACAATGACGCTTATGTCCCAGTGTTCAGTGCAAATTGGTGGGCCCATTCAGGTAGGATGCTATAAATAAATACTAGAAACTAAAAAAAACCCCCACTCATTCAGAATTAATTAAAGTCAATGGCTATTTTCTTTAAAATGCAGAAAACGCAGGTGGAAACATGCATTTTATTGCAGTAATTCATCCCTTCACAGAAGCAAGGATTCTTATAAGGCTTCTTGTCTACATTAATGCCTTTCTCCACATTGTTCTCTTGTAACATGCATTTAAAGTACATCTCAGCCAGGGCAGACAAACAAGACATTCCATGTCACCACCCAAACTGCTGCACTAAAAATGATCCCACTGCAATTTTCAGCAAAACAAGGATCTCACGTTAACCCTAGGGGAATCTTGAGTGTGGAAGGTTGAATCTACACCCAGAATCTAAGGATTCTTTTTGGATGATGTTGATATAGCTAGGTCACCATCATCTGTGAACAAACCATTTTAGGAACTTCTGTGCTCTAAATCGTGCCATCATCTATCTTGTATTTTCAAAACCACAACCACAAAAATCACCATTCCCCAGTAAAGTAGAGCTCAACAGCCAAAACGTAAATGACATGTATTTTTGTAGGAAGGGAACATTTGGTAATTAACTCCACTAATTTGGGAACAAATCTAAATACTTTTAAAGTAGCTCCAATAAGAAAGCAGACACTATCCTATCACAAGGGTGGGTGGGTGTGGGTGCTCCCCAGCAGCTGATATTCAGAGACATATTGCCTTTGATACAGGAGGCAATCTATTCCTTAGGAATAGTAGCCATTAACAGCCCTATGCCAAGTCAAGAGTTCAGTGCAAAGCACTATTAATGGATTGTCTCAGAGCTTACTCACTGATGAACGCTGGCACTCAGGTGAATTTTGCTTGGTACCCCATGGCTCTCCATCCGGGATGCTATATTCACTGTGTCTCCAAACAAGCAATAACGTGGCATTTTTTCTCCAACAACTCCAGCAAGGACCGGCCCTGTGTGGATCCCAACTCTGATCTGAGCAAGAGTTTTTGGGGGAAAAGATCACTTCCACAACAAGTTTCGTTTCAAGCACAATCTATCCATAAGTTCTAAACACAAACTAAACAGTCACAAGCCATAATCCACAGTTCCCTATGATGAACTCTGTTTAATAATAAAATAATAATAATAATAATAATAAAGTTATATACTGCTTACATGCCAAAATGGCTTGTAAGCACTGTTGAACCCAGGCCATAGTAATTCTTCATAAAAATTGATACTGTTCATAAGCATTGTGGTGCACAGTGGGAAGCAAATCTATCAGGCTGTTCTTTCTGAGAGACAGAAACTGAAGCTCTAGCCCTGAATTCAAAGGTCTGAAAATAAGTGCAATTCTCTCGATCACGCTTGCAAGGACATTACTACAGCTGACACAGGAGGACACAATCTACCAGGAAGGTCTTGCTCAACATCCCCAACCCTTTAAAAGAAAATGGAGTTATTGAGTACACAAAATGGGAACTTCTATAACTGGAATGGGGGAATCTCAGGCCTCAAGACCAATCCTGCAGAGACATTTGTGTGTGCTCATGGTCTCCTGTCCTTCTAGCCCTTGTATCTCACATATAAAAACAGAACCTTTAGCCATATATCCCCCAGTCCAAATCTGTGTGCAGAGACTAGCCCTCCTGCATGATCAGGGATCCCTGTTGTGTTAATGCACAAGCCAGCTCCACACACTCATCCCTTTGCATGAGCAAAGCTTCCTGTTCCCTTGAACTGAATTATGGTACCCTTGCAGGGTTCAGAGCTCTGTGTGCACATTAAATATCTTGCAATTGACAAGAACTGATGGCCTTTGGGACGTTGGTCTTTAGTCATCCCAGCAAACTTGTCAAGCCAACCAACGGGATCTTTTACATACTGGCTTTTTTTTATTATGACAGCCTAGAAGCCTACAATTTACTGCACATGATGCACAAATCAAGTCTGAGATTGCTGATCATTATGGCCCTACATTGCGTCATCTCCATTTGCAAATAGTAAGCAGATAATGTGCACGTGTCTATTAGCTACTCACTTGAATAGGATTCCCAGACACTGGATTCTTTATGTCTTTTGCAGCTATGATCATTCCCAGCGCAAAGTTGGCAACCCGTTCAGCATGTGTGGATACAGGCACAGGAACACCCCCTACTACCATGTAGGCATCTCCTATGGTTTCCACCTTTAAAAAAAGAAGCGGACAAACCCTGCCATGCCAATAGTCTCTGCCTGAGCTTATTATTATTCCAGGGTAAGTGCCTGGAACCCCTGGAACCTCACACCGCTCAGAGATTGGGGTGGCGTGTTAACACTATAAATACTTTTATAAATCAATGAATGAATTGTGATATTAGTTAGGACTTGCCTAATTATTTTAAGATCTGGTTTCGGGGAGAGAGGGTTAGTGTGAAATATCGTTAGCATGGAATTCTCACATTTTTGATATTCAAATTATTTTAACACGTAACATTGCTGTTTTGAACAATAATGCAAACTTTTTTTGTTCTTCAAGAAACTAAAGTATTACAATGCATTCTGTTTGTGATTTTGCGCGGCGTTTTTTTAAAATCACGGCCACCCTCTATTCTGATACAGCTACTGATAAGCCAGTGCACAGAGGCCATAGAATGGACCAGGGCCTCAGAGGAAAACAGTCAGGATTCTTGCTCCCTATAACAACACACAGGTTGACCTCAGAGTCCAAAAATGGTTCCTTACTCCAGGTTTTCCCTAGTAGCTTCTCAGCACAGGATCCTGTCTGTTATATGCAGTCCTCATAAATTCTCTCTGGCATCTCAGGCTTGCCACGGAGTTTGTAACCTCAGATTTACTGCCCTCCCCCCCCCAAGCTATCCCTTTCTTTCACAGATGTTTCTCTCACAGCTGTCTCACCCTGACCTTCTGCTTTATCTCTACCACTCCTCCCCGCACCCCATTTTCCTATTCTCCCACTCTCAATTCATATTCCTTCCAAACAACTTCATGGGGCCAGAGGTCACCTCTGCTTTTTATCTCTCCCTTGCTGCTGTGTGCTAGTCAGCACACTTCCTCCTCAACTTCCTTTGTGCATTTTGCTGCTGCTACTTGCATCCCACTCCCTCAGGCCCACCTGGTGTCTTTCAACAGGCTGCAGTGGGCATGGGAGAGCCTTGCTCACATTGTCATCACAAAGACATTTCCACCCCCACCCCCACATTAAGGGTAAGCAGACGGAGAAGATACACACACTTTAGACAGGATTCAGGCAGAGCAAGGCAAAGGGAATGGGGGGGATCAGAGCCCAGGTATCGGGAATAAAACAGGAGAATTTTACCCATCTCTTTTCTCCTTTCTTTTATAGGGGCTGCTGAGAAGGTGGAGCCAAAGAGAGCAGGGAATTACAAGGCGTCAAGGGGGGGGGGAGAGGAGAGAGAAATGGTCCTTGAAATCTTTTCCCTCCTTCCCACTAACATCACTTTCATGAAATTGTGGCTGAACATTTGTCACTGACCTTGTAGACATCATGCACTGTGGTCAGCCTGTCAAATCGCAGATACATCGCATTTAGCAGGAGGACAATCTGAATAGGTTCGCACTGGGCACAAATGTTGGTGAAAGTTACAACATCGCTGAATAATATGGTGCACTCTTTAAACTCTCCTGTAAGCCCAAAAGGACAAAGGTTAGGGATAGTTTAGTGAATAAACGTGGTCAAGACTTGTACCTATATTCAAGTTATTCATTCATTCCTAGATATCTAGATATTAAAAAATCTAGTAGATATCTAGTAATTTAAAAAATGTAATAATAATGTAATAATAATATTTTTTTATTTATACCCCGCTGGGCTTCCCCAGCCACTCTGGGCAGCTTCCAACAAAATATTAAAATACAGTAATGCATCAAACATTAAAAGCTTCCCTAAACAGGGCTGCCTTCAGATGTCTTCTAAAAGTCTGGTAGTTGTTGTTCTCTTTGACATCTGGTAGGAGGGTGTTCCACAGGGCAGGTGCCACTACCGAGAAGGCCCTCTGCCTGGTTCCCTGTAACTTGGCTTTCGCAGTGAGGGAACCACCAGAAGGCCCTTGGCAGTTACATAGCTAAAATTCACGCAACTGCACAGCAAAAGATCCTAACAGCCAGCTATAAAATTATATATGCATACATATATACATGCATGATATAGCCTGAGGATGGGGAAACTCTGGCCCTCCAAAAGTTGTTGAACTGCACCTCTCACATTAGCCCCAGCCAGCATGGCCATTGGTTTGGGATGTTGAGAGTTGTAGTCCAACAGAACTTGGAGAGTCACGGATTCTCCACCCTGATCTAGGCCAAGAGTGGTTCAGTCCCTTTTGTTACAAGAGTTAAGCACATGCTTAACTCTCCATCCATATAAAAACAAGAAGAGCATTGCTAGATCATATCAAAAGTTCGTCTAGTCCAGCATTCAGTTTCACAGTAGAGAACCAGATACTTCCTACAAGCTTCCAAAGCAAGACCTGGTGAGAACAGCCCTCCCTTGTTCTTTCTCCCCAGCATCTGATATTTAGAAGTATGTGCCCTCTAAACAATGGAGGTGCTCTGGGGAACACCGATGAACTACCTTCTTCCCTGACTATTAGCCATACTGACTGGGTGGGAGACTGGAGCTGAAGTTCAACAAATTTGTGAAGGACCCCAAGTTTCCAACCCTTGGTGTTAAAATGAATGGTTAATGGCAACATTAGAGTAAGGGGGGAAGGGAGCCTGGACCAATTTTTCTCTGAAGTTCCTCGTTTTGGTCTTCCTTACAACTTAAGCACCTGCACATTGGCCCCAAATGTTTTATCTGCCTCACGCTCATTCACCTGCCTCGACTCGTTTCCCTTCTTTGAGCTGGTTGGCCACATGCTTTGGGAGCATGGCGTAGAGAAGGGCTTCCGTCTTTTTCTTCTCCTCCTCGAGATGCTTTGACAGAATCCGCAGCTCCTCTTTCTTCCTCTCAAGCTGATTGGACAGCTCCATCTCAGCCAGCCGCTGCTGGTTCAGAAGGATCAAATCCCTGGTGACATCGTGAGGGGCAATGTCAGCGATGTGCATGTGCCTCTCTTCCAGCTCATGCAGCGTGCGCAGGAGAGGGGAGCAAAGGTACAGCATGCACTGGACAGACTCCATCCAAATCATCTGACCTGATTAAAAAAATATACAGAATCACAGGTACGTTTCCTGCATGCCATTCATTCTAGTTATTTAAGTTTTTGGTTGCTGTTCTTTCCCTCCAGATTATATCTGCATTGTTAAACTTCCAACCCTTCACTAGACTTCTATTCCACCCAGTGTCAGGAGGTCCTACACACGAGTAGGAGTCTAGCAGAGACACATGCCCAACTGGCATGTTCTCTCCCCCCTGGTCGATCGGGAGATTCAAAATCTTTCTCCAGTTCGAACATCACAGCGACTGATACCTCGGAGGCATCAGCACACTTCAGGATCAGCAGAGTATAGGCAGTCAGCATTCAGACTCAGTAGTGCAGCTTTATGGCGAAACTATGTTTATTTGTATATATACATCTGGAGCATCATAACTCAGCTCCTTCCTCTTTAGCATCATACAGCAAAGAGAGAACAAAGGACAAATGTCCTACATCATGGAAACACAGTAGTAGAAACATCCTGTCTCCACCACTTCCCACAATGTGGAATGAAAACACGTGATAAAACCAATCCCATGACTGCAACACGGGAAAAGAATCCTAGCACCCAGAACATATAAAAAGTTGTCTCAATTATTACAAGGAAGACACAATTTCAGAATTCGGGGGGGGGGGGGTTAGGGAATAGATTTGGGGGGAGGGTGCTCCCATATTTGCTACTGTCCAAGTGACAGGCAGTGGGGAGTAACAGTGGGTGGGGAGTGGGTGTCCCACTCCTCAGAACCTGGATCTGCTGCTTTTCAGAGCCTGCTGCCTGAAGCAACTGCCTTACCATCCTTCAAGGGTTGGCCAGCCCTGCAGCCAGCTCTTCATCTAGTCACCTTAATCATGCCTGTCCCTGATATTTATGGAGACAATGAGTTACCTCTCAGTTCTAACATAGGACGCTGCTTCCAAGATTCTGGCATCATCTCCCTCTTGGTCCGGAAAACAAACTGGCTGTTGATAAATTTCTGGACACTGGAGATGGTGAATTTCACTTCAGGACGTACGATACTGAAATATTGGTTGAGGCGAATGCCCAGTGTCTGAAGGCCTGGCACGATCTTTTGAATGCTGACTCCGGCTTGCTTCACTCTAAGCTTAAAAGATAGAATCACAACTCTTTAGCATCAGCACCCTTCAGAATTGTCTTGCAATCCTACCTCTGGAGTAAGAACGAGAGCAGCCAGCATGGAATGGTAGCACCACAGAGCCAACCACCTGGTAGCATTATCACTAGGTTGATAGGGCACTGGCAAGGTTAGGGATGATCATTGGCCAGGCTTGCTGGAGCTGGTAGGAATTGGAGTCCAACAACATCTGGAGGGCCAAAGGTCCCACATCCCAAAGGTAAGTAAACATGAGAGGGAAGTCCCCTATTTTCAACCCCTTGCTGCTGCTCTGACCATCCTCCATGAGTTGGAGAGTGATCTTCTGATGTGAGGGGTCTCTTGTACGCATGAAAGCTTTGCTGTACATTTTAGAACCCTGAATGCATGCAGGGAAGGGACAGAAGGCTTCCTGCTTTAGAAGATTGGCCTACCATTGATGGAACACCATCAGAAGAGTAACAGGGGGCAGAGGCAGCACACTGATCCTCACAGCCCCCATCCCATGCCTCTCTACTTAATGGCTGGAGTGGATTTAGCATTGTCTCACGTAACAGTATTACTGGGACCATGCTGGAATAATGGTGAAAAGTAGGCTATAAGACAATGCTCGATTGCCGTCTGGGCAATTTTCAGCAGCTAACTACTGGAAGGGTAGTTATTAATCCCGGTATTAATATATTATGAAACAGAATGTCTCAGGTTAACTTATCATGCGAACAAGCTTCTAGGTCAACAGTAGGCAGTAGCAGTAAACAATTTATTACATTAGGTGATTGAATCTGTAATCCTATGCCTACTTGTCTTGGAACGAGTCCCACTGAACTCACTGTGATTTTCTTTTGAGTTGCTATGCAGAAGATTGTGTTATAGAATGGCTACGTTTGGTTCACATATGTAGGGAAACGAGTTATCATTAGTTTGACTCACCTCTTCATCAAATACAATGTGGAAAGGAAGCCCATTGCAAAATGTCTTCGGATCTATGCAGAGGGTCTTAGGATAGACAGGATCAAATCCTTTCAGAAGTCGTCCTGCAATATGGGGGAGGGGTAATTTCAATCCTATCCTAATTCCCTGATAGAATCAGTACCATTATTCAAGTAGCATGATTCTGCAAGATAATTTAATTCTCATTCATAAATAAATATTCATTCATTTCCCTCCGTCTTCCTCCAAGAACTCCAGAATAATGCACATGGGGATTTTCCATGTATATGAATATAATATGATTGGAAGAACAGGCTAAAGAGGTTTCCACTATAAATTAGAACCTGGAAAGGGTTTTCAAGAATAAAAATTTATGACATGTAAACACAACCATTATATTGTGTTTTTCCTTAATACAACGTGGTCGTTTTTACTGGGATGCCACCATGGTGTAGTGTGTTGGGCATGGTGTTGGGCTAGGACCTTGGAGAACAGAGTTCAAATCCCAACACAGACATGGAGCTCATTCATCATCTCTCAGCCTAACCCACCTCACAAGATTGTTATCAGGGTAAAATGAAGAAGGTCCCCCACCTTGACCTCCTTGGAGGAAAGATGGGATAGAAATTAATAATATTTAATGAAAAAGGCTGGGTTTTAAATGCCATACTGAAAGCATTAATGAATGATGCCAAATGCTTTTTTGAAAGTTACACTTTTACCTTTTCCTATTGTCACAATTCCTTTAATTGTTTCCCAGTGACTTTTCTTGACAGGGCATGTCGAAGGGGGGCTGGCTTTATCCCTGTTCTTGTTCATGGCTCTTTCAGTATCCTGTGGAATGAACCCAAAGCAATTGCCAAACTGTTAAAAAATTTAAAGTGAGACGTGTACCAAGGTTTTTGCATCAGCAAAATAATTAATGTAATAATGGAAGGCACAAGCAACTTAAATTTCTTCCTATTCTTGAATTGGAATGCGCTTGGGATATCTTCCAGTATCCTTCACTGTTTCAAACTCTTTGGAGGCAAATATCCAGAGTTTTGAGCATATGCCTGGATTCTGAAAATGAAGTGTCTTATATTGATACCTGTTTTCTTTTTTCAACAATAATAATAGTAGCAATACTAATAGTAATAGTAATTTCAATGGTGATGATGATGATGATGATGTAGAAGAAGACGACAACCTATTACTTTAAAACTGCTTTGATGCTATATATTTTATATATAGGTCTTCCTGTCAATACATACATGACTCCATACAAAAATGAATATCACAGTACCTCTTTATTCAGCTGTTTTTCCACCAGTGTTCCGGAACTTGAACGGAACGGCGAACAGGAAGAGAACTTATTTCGCCTTCTGTATGAAAATACAGGTTTTTGTGTCACAAGAAATACAATGTGTTCCTTTTTCCCTGTTCTTTCTTCTTCTTCTGACTGATTGACTATTTCCATGGAAATTTCAATGTTGAAAAAATCCAAAGCTGCTGCACCAATGATTCCTGAAGCAAAAGAAAAAAACTAGGTGTTATTGGGGATATGCAGTGATTTGTTCTAGACGCCGGTTTGATGCTTGGGGGTTTGAGTCTGATTCATTCTCTTGCCTCCATCCATTCACAAATTGGGAATTTGTTGAATGGCTATAACTTTCTCCCTCTGTTAACAGAAGTGCATGAAATTTGCAGGTATTGTAGCCCATAAAGATTGGATAAAATCCGCTAAATTACAAGTAAATGGGTCCAGGGGTTCAGGTGCTACATACTTTTAAAGTGTTTCTGGAGTGGGAAGGGGGGGGGAAGGGATTTACTTTCTAGATAAATTTTTAAAAATCCCTCTGATTGCTAACTAGATTTGTCAGTGAGAGCAAAAATCTTCCTCTGCACCTACTCCCTACTCTGCCTTTTTCTTTCCTTTCCTCCATCACCCCACCCTAAACTAATACTAAGTTTAGAGACATTGCTTTTGCTTTTAGCAGACACTTGTTTGCAGCATTTCCCCCCCCATGTCTGGATCATCCATGTGCCATGAAACACGTCAGGGGTTCCTGCTTCAACACATGCCATCTTGTAGAGATCCTGCTTCATTTCAGACAAGCCCAAAATGCCTCCGACACACCTTGCTTCATTTCAGGATTATGCCAGAACAGTTGTTATACAAACTCTGATAGCACAATCCATACCAACCAGCCTAGCTGCTGTATTCGGACAAATTATAGTATCCAAGAAGTCTTCGATGGCAGCCCAATAGACGATACAACAATGTAAGTTTATTGTTCTAGCCAAAGGCCATGAAAACCCACGGCAACAGTACCAATAAGAAAATACAGATCATACATCCATTATACCAGCCAACAGCCATGATGTAAAAGAAAGGTAACCGGAGACACCAAGAAACTCAAATCCGGATTGATTTCAAATTAAACATCTGAATCACCATAGCAATTTATTAGGGTTGTCATATGTCAGGAATTTCCCAGATATGTCTGGGATTCAAACGGTGATAGTAGCATCCATGTGGAATTTTGAAAAATTGACAAAATGTCCAGGTTTTTGCCCGCAGAACCAGAAAGTGTGTACTTGAGTATCACTCTTTGCCTCTTTGGGGTGAATTTTAAATCTTGAAATATGGCAACCGTAAATTTATGACATTTTAACTAAGTCCTTCTTCCTGTTTGTTTGTTTGTTTTTCAGTCAGTGCATAGAGGGCCAGTCTTTGTTACAAAGCTATTATTCTCTAAAATATATATATAATAAGAATGATGGCAGGAATCAGCACGACATCACACCACTGGGACAATTGCTAGTTTATAGCAAATGGAGGGTTTGGAAGAGGTCTGTAAAGAGAAAAACACAGTGTGCAGGACATTCAGAAGACATTAATCCAATAGCTGACTATTCCACCTTTCAAAATCCATTCCAGAGGAAACTACATACCTGGAACAATATGGCACAAGCCTCGCCTGTCTGAGTAATAATGCAAATGCATCGACCCATCTTCATTCTTTTCCACCCTAAATGAAGGAGCGTTCATTTCCTGAAAAACAACCAGAGTTCTTAATAATCACGCATCTCATATTTCAGCTCATTTTTCAATATTGCCCTGAAGCAAATGGGCAACCTTCCTGGGCACCAAATTGTGCACATGATCTGGGCTGTGGTGGTGGTTCTACCAAATTACAATCAAGGTATGGCTGAAATTAAGCTCACTATTTAACAAATATAGAAAAACAAGTTGTATTCCAAAGTTCTAAGAGGTAGGGGGCATTCCATGAGTTAATGTTACATCCCTCTGGATTCTTCCCCCCCCCCCCCCCAAAAAAAAACCCTGACTGGACTCAAGCATCTCTGCTCCATATGCAATGAGAAAGGCAATCAAACAGCAGCTAAATATTTCAAGTCCAAGGTCAATACACCCAAAGTAACTAATCAGTGAGAGCATGTATAATAATCATAGACATATCTCACATTATGCTGCTGTGAACATGTGCTGTGTATGTAGAACCACAAAAGTTATTTCCACTTACTTGGTAAGACAGACTTAGGTAGCTGTGCAATGCATCCAGATTCTCTATAAATTCATAGAGGTTCCCTCCCAGAGTCCGCAGCATATGGTCATAACCTGACCGCTTGCAGAATTCAAAGAAATATTCTCCAAACTGCTTCAGGACCATATCGGGGGGAACATCTGGGAAAATAATTGTTTATTAATTAATGTTTTAGGATCAAGAACCCAGTTTAACTCGGGCTGTGTATGCAGCACACATTTAAAGCACATGACTTTCCTGAAAGACCCCCAAGAACTGTAATTCTTGGGCTACAATTCCCAGCACCCTTAACCAACTACAGTTCCCAGGATTCCTTGGGGAAAGCCATGTGCTGCTTTACAAGTGCTTTACATGCAGCGGTGGCTGATGCAGACCCTCCAACATTTCTCCAATGAAAATAAGGACATCCCATTCCATAATGTTATTGTATATACCCCACACATCTTACTGGGTTGCCCCAGCCACTCTGGGCAGCTTCCAACATATAGAAAAGCATAAGAAAACATGAAACATTTTTTAAAAAAATTCCCTATACAGGATTGCCTCCTTCAGACGGCTCGGGGGTCGGATAAGTCCAACATTTCTGCAATGAAAATAGGGACATCCTAAGGAAAAGTGGGATCAAATCAGAAACCAGGATGGCTTCTCTCAATCAGGGACACCCCTGGAAAATAAGGACACTTGGAGGGTCTGCTGGTGGAGTGGGGCAGACAGGGCTGCAATACTTTCCAAGCCATACGTACCTAGCATTTTGCATGCCTTATCAATCAGCTGCATTGTGATTTCATCTCTGTAAACTTCAAAAGTCAAAAAGGTATCCTGTACTCCAGTTTGGACTCTGTAATAGAAATAAATATTGGCTGGCATTTTAATAACATTTTTAGGGCTCAGTCTCTCATTCAGTCAGCTGGCCTGCTACTACTGACCCCTCTTAGGATCAAACCATGTGATGAAATTTTGGGCAGTATTCTGGCATATAGTCCCAGAGCCGGCCCAATCATTAAAGAGGCTGAGGCCACTGGGGCCGAAGCCCCCCGCAGCACACTCATGGGTGTCCCACCTGCCCACCACCTCTACCATCGGCAGAGAAGTGCCCCCGCCACCAATGCCAATTTTGGGCACAATTGCATCCATTTGGTTGAGATCTCACCCAAAATTGGCCCTGATGACTGTGCAGCTTCTCTGCCCACAGCAGATGTGAAAAGGTGTGCGGTGTCAGCAGAACAGTTGACAGCATCAGTAGAAGGCATGTGGCAGCAATACCAGGATAATAGCAGCACTTCCTGTTTTGCTTCAAGCAGTGAAATGAGACATTCTGCCCTAGTATAGTTCTTTCCCGCCATTTTCATGAGGTAATCATAGGGGAACAGAAGCACACATGCGCATAAAGGGTAGTGACATGTCCTATGACATCTGCTGTTGTGTCATGCCATGGTCCCTGGTACAAATGCAATTTACTGTGGGATAGGTAAAGGTAAAGGGACCCCTGACCATTAGTCGCGGAGGGCTCTGGGGTTGCGGCGCTCATCTCGCTTTATTGGCCAAGGGAGCCGGCGTACAGCTTCCGGGTCATGTGGCCAGCATGACTAAGCCGCTTCTGGGGAACCAGAGCAGTGCACGGAAACACCGTTTACCTTCCCACCAGAGCAGAACCTATTTATCTACTTGCAATTCATGCTTTCGAACTGCTAGGTTGGCGGGATTACTGTGGGATAGGTGTACAATAATAATAACAATAATTTTATTATTTATACGTCGCCCATCTGGCTGGTTTCCCCCAGCCACTCTGGGTGGCTCCCAACAGTATATTAAAAACACAATAAAACATCAAACATTAAAAACTTCCCTAAACAGGGCTGCCTTCAGATGTCTTCTAAAAGTCAGATAGTTGTTTATTTCCTTGACATCTGATGAGAGGATGTTTCACAGGGCAGGTGCCACTACAAAGAAGGCCCTCTGCCTGGTTCCCTGTAATCTCACTTCTCGCAGTGAGGGAACAGCCAGAAGGCCCTCGGAGCTGGACCTCAGTATATCTAACAGAAAGCCACAGTTCCATACCACAACAGGTAATGCAATGTAAAAGGAATGTTAGAAACCAGGGAACCAGGAGAGATGCACTAGCATTATAACCAAGGAAACTAATGCAATAATCCCCAGGTCTCAGCACACCCATAGATAATGCTGAACTTGATGGGCTGGTGGAGTGGCTCAGTATAAGGCAGATTCCTATGCTCCTAAAATGTGAACCATGAATAAACCCATAGCAGTCAAGAGAATATGTCCAGAGGGAGGGAGGGAGAATATAATGCTTTCAGTTAGAGTTAATAACACTTCCTAAGGATGCCTGCTGTAATACTTTCAAAATTTGATGTGGCTTCATTCCAGTATGATGAGTTTTCAGCCGCTGCTCTGTCACAAAAATGTTCACCCAACCACATGCCATTCTATATCATTTTGCATAACAAATAAAGCAATTAGAGGAGAGTAGCATTATGTGATGAGGCAATCTCTTGCCTTTGTTTCAGTAATTGTTTCAGGTTATCCTCAGAGCAGGGAAATCATTCTCCTGCAATATGGTATTCCTTCTGCTTTCACGTAAATATTCTTTGGCTAAAGGCATTTTCTTCTGGGTGGTGTGGGGGGGAAATGGACAAATGCTGAGTCATGGTGAGAGTCTTGTGCTTCCAGATGTTAGGCATGCATGTGCTTTTACTTTCCTTTGGGGGTTCTACAATTCTATAGATTTAATCTAATGGGTAGTCCCTGCATTCAGTCTCTCTGCTCTGAAAGCCATACATATTGCTATGAGTTGTGGGGGTTAGGTTGCCTTGGCTCTCTTCTAGTTCCTGGAATAGCCAAGCTAGCTTCCTGGTGAGGTGAAGAGCCATTAAGCGAACAAAGGAAGTGGCTTGGTGCCAGAGAACAAATGGGTGGGCCCCCTCCCTCAACTGACGAGAAAGACAAAGGCAAGAGCTGAGAAACTGAAGCAGGTGGAAGCCTGAGAGAGAGAAAGAGGCGCTTGATTTCTGCTGGAATCCAAGGCTGTGGCTTTTGGGGAAAGCAAAAGCCTCTTGGGGGTGTTAATTGCTGTGAATCTCTCCATTGTGGGCTCAGGTTGTATATATGTGTAAATAAACCATATATCATGAAGACACCGCAGTGTCCCTCATTCCGAAGAAAGCACGAACCCTCAGTAAGCACCTGGGACCCTTAGAATCTCACATCGCCCAGAGATTGGGGTTACATGTAACAATATTCCTTTCCTGACTGAGTAATGTTGTGTCTTTGCAAAATGCTGCCACAGTATCAATTCCCTCCACCTGCCCCAATCCCAGGGCTCTGAATTCTGGTAGCAGAGTGTACTAGCCTTTGCAAACATGGTGCCCTCTCTAGATGATTAGATCTACAACTCCCATCAGCATGGCCACACTAGCTGAGACTGATGAGAGTTGTAGCCCAAAACATCTGGCGTGCAGTAGGGTTGGCAAAGGTTGGGGTTGACAATACTGGGATCGACAGACAGACCAAATGATCCACCTCAGTAGGACAAACTCCATGTGCTCCTGTTATTCACTGGCCTGATGTCTAAGACTATGGTGTGTTGGTGTGCATACAGAGAAGCACTTGTCAACTTGTACCTTGCAGGAAACTTCCTAAGATTTCAAAAGGTGTTTCTGAATTATTATTATTATTATTATTATTATTATTATTATTATTATTATATGAAATCACAGAGGGAACAAAACAGAAAGTCTATGAATAATTCCTCCAGGTATAAATTACCTTAATTTCTCCCATACTTCTTCACCATATTTTTCAACCACCAAAGACTTCAGGCATGTGTTGATGAAGCCATACTGCAAAAGCAAGTGCATGAAAATGGGAAAATAGAATGTTCTCTTTTTAAAAGCTACATTTGCATCACATTGGATGATATTTGCATTTATATTTATTACATGAAACTTTGGCTTGCTTTTACAAAACGAATATGCATCGAATACAGAATCGGCCAGATAATGAAGTTTACTATTAGTGTCTTCAGGCTTATGCTGTAATTCAGAATTCTAAAAATGTACCATAATAGTCTACATGACAGACTTGGATAGATCAGTTGGTAGAGCATGAGACTCTTAATCTCAGGGTTGTGAGTTCAAGTCCCACAATGGGCAAAAGATTTCTGAATTTCAGGTGGTTGAACTGGATGACCCTTGTGGTCCTTTCCAACTCATAGAATCATAGAATCATAGAATCATAGAATCATAGAGTTGGAAGAGACCACAAGGGCCATCGAGTCCAACCCCCTGCCAAGCAGGAAACACCATCAGAGCACTCCTGACATATGGTTGTCAAGCCTCTGCTTAAAGACCTCCAAAGAAGGAGACTCCACCACACTCCTTGGCAGCAAATTCCACTGTCAAACAGCTCTTACTGTCAGGAAGTTCTTCCTAATGTTTAGGTGGAATCTTCTTTCTTGTAGTTTGGATCCATTGCTCCGTGTCCACTTCTCTGGAGCAGCAGAAAACAACCTTTCTCCCTCCTCTATGTGACATCCTTTTATATATTTGAACATGGCTATCATATCACCCCTTAACCTCCTCTTCTCCAGGCTAAACATGCCCAGCTCCCTTAGCCGTTCCTCATAAGGCATCGTTTCCAGGCCTTTGACCATTTTGGTTGCCCTCCTCTGGACACGTTCCAGTTTGTCAGTGTCCTTCTTGAACTGTGGTGCCCAGAACTGGACACAGTACTCCAGGTGAGGTCTGACCAGAGCAGAATACAGTGGCACTATTACTTCCCTTGATCTAGATGCTATACTCCTATTGATGCAGCCCAGAATTGCATTGGCTTTTTAGCTGCCGCGTCACACTGTTGACTCATGTCAAGTTTGTGGTCAACCAAGACTCCTAGATCCTTTTCACATGTACTGCTCTCAAGCCAGGTGTCACCCATCTTGTATTTGTGCCTCTCATTTTTTTCCACCATTCTATGACTGTAGCTGGTGAGTCCAACAACATATTGAGGCGACCATGTCAGCCCGACAGTACTGAGCTAGATGGACCAGTTTCCTATGTTCTTGCTATTCAACATCCTTACCGGGCAGAAGCACAGAAACAGGAGCAAAGGAAACAAACACACCGTTCCCTTAAAAGTCAGGGAGGAATTTGCCATTTTCCTGATTCAGGGGCACGCTCTCTGCATAGCTTTCTCTGCATGTCTGTGTGACTCTTTGGTACTATTACATAGCATATGAGAAAAGACTCTACTTTAGATGTCCAATAATAGTCGTCCAGATTAGTAATTCAGATGATGTGCATCCCCAAAAGAAGTGCCTGATCAAAATGACCTACTTGGGTCAGTACAATTACAGTGAGCTCTTGCCCACCCATTCCTCTTAGTTTTCTCTTCCCCCAGTTCATCAATAAGCACTTTTCTTCTGGACGCCCTCTGAGCTCCTTAAAAAACGAATGTCCTCCACAATCCCCACCCTTTACAAGTTTGCTGCACAGGGAGCCTTTCTCTCTTGCCTCCTTCTGCGTGCCTCCCGGATCCATAAATAGGAGAAGGCATCAAACGCTCTGAGGTGTGAAGCAGAATTGAATCAGCCCCGAATCCCACTGTGTTCAACGGAGCTTAGAGATAAGCGCTTCTTGATAGGGTGGCCGTCTTAGTAACCGCAGCGCCTCTCTGCCCAGCGGCGCTGATGCGTCTCCAAGCCGCTAACTGGATTGCCAAAACCAAGCGCTGTCCTAGCGCACCACAAGAAATCAGGGGCAACTGGGCTTGTCCGTTTTTGTTGTTTGTTTGTTTTTAAATGAGAATGTGCATAATACTCTTTTCTTGACTTTTACTTGGCGCGAGCAGACGCTTGTGCGCTTCGGGATATTTTATTTACTACCTCCTGAATCCAGACCGACGTGCGGCCAGACGCCCCCTATTGACATCAGCCACAGTTCCTCGGACTTCATTGGAGGCTAGGTCGGCCACTGACGTGAGGAGGGAGGGGACAGCTACAGGTTGCCATCTCCAGAATCTATTGATGCTGGTCCTCCAGCCACTTGACTGACGGGCGTCGAGTGGACGTGGTCGCCTCTGCTCGTGGCGCTGGATCCTACCAAGACGGTCTTGGCAAGACCTTAGCATGGTCCTCAGCTCCCTTGCTCCAAAGTTACTATGGCTGTTCCGGAGCAAAGTAGTTGAGGATCCCTTGCTTTTCTTTCTCTCCGGGAAAAGCAAAACAGAGCTAAACTGGCAACAACGCCCCCCCCCCCAAACTTCCCTCCCCGCCGCCCACTGCTCAGAGGCTTTTTCTAAAATCGATTTTACACAAAGTCATCGGCATCTCCTCCAGATCCCGGATCCCTCTGTTAACTTTCAAAACAAAAACCACCCGTGGAAGATCGTTGGGGGTCGGTGGGGGAGACAAACAGTCGCTACTCACCATTCTGGCGCATGACTCAAACGATAGAACCGTGCAACATTGCTTTATTCCCGTCGCTCAGGGTGATCCTTCTGGCTTTCTGCTCCTTCCCCCGAGACGCCACGTTAGTTCGGGGACCCTGGCCAGCTCCTTTCCGCGGGCGGAGAGCTAGGATGTCGTGACACCGTGGAAGGAACCAGCCTCTACTCGAGGGCTCGGAAATCTGAGCGGCGATCCTGCACCCCCCATGCTCTCTCCCCACCCACCCCCTTCTCCCGAGCCTCACAACCGGCTTGTGGCTCTGTCCTTTCTTCCGCTGCAAGGTTACGATCGGCCTGCCACGAAGTCACCTTTGACTGCCTAGGATCTGAGCAGCCCCGTCACGAAAACAGCGCCTCTTTCTGCGCGCTGCATGACTGCAGCGCCTCCATCTCTAAGTGCCGGAGCGCAGCCTTGCCTTGCCTGAGTCGTTGCTTCTGCCCGGAACTGAAGGCGCTGTCCAGGGGTCTCTGGTGCTGAAATGGCGAGCCACAAGAGCCGCGAAGAGGCTGATTGGTGCCTTCAAGCCTGCGGGCTGTTTTAGATTACATTTCACGCATCTGATGGAACCGGCTGTGGTCTAGGGAAGCTTACGCCACAATGAATTGGTTAGTCTTTAAGGTGCCAGAAACTGAAGACGGGCCATAGGTCTGGAACAGAGCACATGCTTGCATGCAAAAAGGTCTCAGGTTCAATCCCTTGTGTCTCCAGGTGGGGCTGGGTCAGTGTGGGCGATACTGAGCTAGATTGTTTACTTATTAAATCGATATGCAGCCCTTCCTCCCAAAGCAGTTCAGGGCAGCAAACACACAAAGGATTTCCAGTGCAGATGCAGACCGAGAAAGATCTCTGCTTTGAAAGGCTTGTTGGAAGATGAAAGTCTTCAATAGGCACCAAAAAGAAATGGCACCTGTGGTCTGGCTTGGTATAATGCAGCTTCGTATGTTCCCAAGACACTTTCTGGTTTTTGCTGCGACAGAATTCATGCTGAAGGGTGGCTCTGCTATGTTGGAGAAAGAGTAGCACATTTTCCCACAGGGGCTGAGTCCCCCATGAACCTCAGAAATGCTCTTCAGTGGTCATCTTGGAGTGCTTTCAATAAGTTGGGGAAAATGGGAGGGCTGCTTATCCTCCTCCCTAATCTAGATGCATTTGCAAAATAGACTTCACAATGAAAATGTGCAAAACCTCTGTGCATTTTGTTTTTGTCATGAGGTTTCAGTGTTCTCAAAGAAACGTATGCTTGTGGAACTAGAATGTCTCAACAGCACAAAGTAAACAACAACAAAAGCCAAACCTGCTGAGTTATTTATTGTACTTTTCTGCTATGATAATAGGACCCAAGTCTTCTCAGATCCAGACACTAACCAGATCTGTATCTGCTTAGCTTCAGGCAAGGTTGCATCATGGTCCTTCAGATTTTGCCAACAAACCCCAGGAAAAAATAATTCACGGATAAACATCCATGGCTCCTGTTCTACCTCCACTGTCAGAGTTAGGATGCCTCTGCATCCCAGTTGCTGGGAATTGCAGATGGACAGAGTGCTATTTGGCTCATTTCCAGCTAACATGCTTCACCCAGGCATCTGACTGGCCAGTGTGAGAACAGGATGCTGGACTAGATGGGACATTGGTCTGATCCAGCACCCTTGCCTTATGTTCATAGGTAAGAATCACAAAGATTCTCATGGATCAAAATTGCTGTAAACTGAATGCTAGCTAACCTTGACCATGAACAGATATGACTAGGTCCTTCTTAATCCATATTTTGCCAAGCGGCTTATGTTTCTTCCTCATGCTCCTTGTCTTTTGTAGATAATATGAAAATGCATCATCCTAAATGAGCAGATCAGTCAGCTGTGAAACTAATACTGAACTTGAAAGATGTTTTCTCTTTAAACCCTTAATGAAAAATCTAGTAGAGGAAATTCAATTGCTACTTTGGAAAATGCACATAATTATTATTCAGATTCTACAAGTCTTACAGTGCAAGCCCTGCCATGTCAACTCAGAAGTAAGTCCTACTTAATTCAATGGGGCTTACTTCCAGGCAAGTGGGGCTAGTATTGTAGCCTTGAGCCCATTGAACTCAGTGGGATTTACTTCAAAGTAAACATGGTATTACACTACCCATTTTTTAAAAAGATACTAATGATAATTTGTCCCTAGACAAATTAGATCCAAAATATGTAATTGCACTACAACGCACCATTTTCAGCCACAGTTAACAATGAAGACAGGGATCTTTCACATTCCATTTATTCCTATATTCATATTCTGAAGAATTTATTAGACATCAACGTGTTTTTGTTTTGTGTTTTTTAAGTGCTGTTTGCTTTCTGTTGCAGGTACTCCTCATTATTTCGGTAACAAAATATGTAACTGTTTCTTTTTAAAAGAGAGAATATCCAGCTTTGGCATGAGCAGCATTTACAGAAGGGACATTGGCATATCCAAGTAGCGCTGAATTTTGGAGTAATTTCATGCCTGGCATCTGAGGATTTTATTTTTGAAAAAGGCTGCTGTGTTCCCTGAATTGAAGATGGACTGTGTAATTTGTAAGCGTCTGGGCTATGATAAAGTGCAGTTCCACATGCTTCCCCATTATGGTTTGAAGCATAGAAAATAGAGTGATTCATTTGGCTGTTTAAGAAAAATGGTTCTTAGTTCATCAGCAAGGCAGCAATAGATCTGGCAATAGCGTGGACATGATCCAGCAATGAAACCTGCATGCCAAGCAAAGCATTTCCCCTGTGGGCAATGTGAATATGCACACAAAACCTCTCTGCATGTGAGATCTGGAGGTAAGCCAACCAATGCAGTCCATAGTCTGCTCTCAAAACATCCATTCATTGGATAAGTGTTTCATTCTCATTATATCACACAATCCCCAGCCCACCGACCAATATTTTTCATGGTTTCAGTTATTCATCTCAGGCTATGTTGATGTTAGTACACTGTACAGTTATGGGTACATGTAGCAGTTGCCAACTAACGCACACAATATGTGTTGAAAACAGATGCAGCTGTGGCCATGGGGGCAGCATGGGAGTCTGCAATGCTGGATCTTCCCCACATTTTCCAGATTTCCCCGGACCTTACTGGGATTTCAAAATTGACATCTAGGTGAAATATCTGAAAGGTGGTGCTTTTTCCTGAAGCTTAGGCAAGTCAATCAAAAAACTGGCTTTGGGGTTTGTCAGTAACTTTCCTAAAATAAAAAAAAGCTTTTGGGGTGTCCTGGTTTTTATTTTTTGAAATATAGCAACCCTAGTTAAGGCCTCCTGAATCCCAGGCTGGCAAGGACACTAAAGAGGCAACTGCAAAATGAGACCCATTGTGTTCATTTGTTTTTTATCCAGGTAACCTGCATATCTTTCTGAGACATTGAAGATAATTGATAAGAGACAAAACATTTCCAAATGGATGGATACACTGTATGGTTACTTCCTCCGTGAAATCCTTCTGGAAATGTTTTGATTCCTGGTTGAATAGCTCTACTTCAAGAAGCCAAAACCTGCATGAACAAAAGCTAAAATCAAACACTTAGAACAATCATTTTAGCCTATCCGTGTGTGTGTGTGTGTGTGTGTGTGTGTGTGTGTGTGTGTGTGTGTTTCTGATACAGCAGGACCATATTGATAGTGTAATATCTTCAGTTTTACCACTAGAGGGCATTCCTTCCAAGTGTACATTTAGATGTGTAGCCTGA